CCTTGAGACATCTACAAATCTGAACCCTAACTTTTAATGTGCCCCTTCCCCAACAATCCCCACACAAGGGGTCCCTAATAAAAACTTTAACAGCCTTCCTCTGAGACAACTCTCAGAAACACTGGCGTTGTACCTCCTCAGAAACTCTCCCTGGGGGGTGCCCAGGTGCTGGTTCTTTAGAACCCGAGAGTCAACAGAAGGACTCAAGCTGGATCACACAGCGTCTCCGTGCAAGGTCAATTCAGAATTTCAGTGCAGGGTTTTCTGCAAAATGCACTTTAGATAGTCTGTCTAGCCTTCAAATAGGAAAATCTCATTTTCTAAGAACCTGCTGATTTTGAATAGAGATAGCTATGCAGTTTCAAGGAAATGGCTTCCTCCTGCCCCTTCTAATAGCTGCCTTGAAGGACTGTACTCGACAGAGCGCGTTTGCCCAGAGGAGTAGGGAAATTGGCTTCTGCCAGAAAGCCAGACTCCACGCTGCCTTGGGGACTGATCCTGCCTACCTTTCCCACAATTCATATTTTATCTCTGGAAAGCTGTCAAGCTCTTTAATGTCAAGGTTTCTCAACCTTGGCACTCCTGACATTTGGGGCCAGTTCTCTCCTGTGCTTTGCAGGATTCTGAGCAGCACCCCAGCCTTCACCCCCGTGGCACCTTCCTTGTTGTGATGACCCAAAATGTCTTCAGACATTGCCAAATGTCCCTAGGTTGAGAATCACAGTCTAGATGGGTGGTTCGAAGCCCAGGGTGGTTATTACTGGTGAAAGGGAGCTATCTGGGAAGAGAGGACCGAGGACAATCCCTGCATGTCATTCCAATTTTGCTTCTCTGGGCTTCCTTTATGAGGGAGCGATGGTGACAGCCCTCGGTGTTACCTGGGCATCCTCCAGCTCACTCTCCAGGGCCCTTCTAGCTGAGGCAGCTTCTTTTTCTTCCTTTCTGGCATGGACAAGGGCCTCTTCTAATTGTCGTATTTCTTGCTGCAAAGACACAGGGTCAGTGTGTACTTAGATGGGTGCTGTACCTTGGAAACCACAGCCTTGGTGGAATGAAATGAACACAGAAGACACCCACAGACACGGCTGTCCTTGAATGCTTGTGCCTGCCTACAGCCTCAGTTCTTAATCAGGTGTGAATGTCCAGATTATCTGGGGTGATTTTTTAAAAATACAAGTACCCAGACTTACCCCATGGAAATCTGGAAATAGCAGGTACTGAATGGCCCCAGGCACACATAGTTTTGTGAAAGGTGATAGATGACGGCTATGGTTTGAATGTGTGCCCCCAAAAACATGTGCTGGAAACTTACCATTGTAGCAGTATTAAAAGGTGGGACTTTCAAGATATGATTAGGCTGAGAGCTCTGTCCTCATGAATGGATTGACAACATTACGGAGGGAATGGGTTCCTTTTAAAGGAAGGGTTCTGCCCCCTCTGGTCAGTCCCGCTCACTCTCCCTCTCCTTATCCTTCGGCCACGTGATGCATTTCACATTATGACACAGCAAGGGCACCCTTGCCAGATGCCAGCACCATATTCAATTCCTCAGCCTCCAGAACCATGAGAAATAAATTTCTCTTGCTTGTAAATGACCCAGTCTGTGATCTTCCATTATAGTAGCCGAAGATGGACTAGGGCAATGATGAGTCTGTCCCCTCTTTGTCATCAGCTGCCCTTTGTTACTGCTATCAGTGTGCATCTCTTGCTAACAGCTTCCCACTTCTAGAGGTCTAGCTAACCAGATAATTGGTTTGTTAACACCTTTGTAACTTCAAAAACATCACCTCCGTGTTAAAAAGAATAAATAGTCTTGAGTGAGAATTGGTCTGCTGATGGTGTTAAGATAGCCTTTCAGGTGTTTGGAGGCCTCTGGGAAGGCTCAGAGGACTGAGGGGGCCTGAGGCCTGGGTGAGTGGGGATCCCCGTGCTAAACTCGAGTTTCCCATCTGACTTCTCCCTCCTTGGTCCCAGGCCTCCCAGTCATACCCCGCCCAGAGGAACAAAAGAAATGGCTTACAGAGGATATATATTCGCTATTGCCTTGACCTTTCCTACTAAACTATGGTAGTAAATCCCTTCCCCACTTCTGAAACTAGTTGTACAGGAAAGAAGGATGGGTAGCTGCCAGACCCGGGCTCAGGCCCAGAGAGCCTCACCTCGCTCTTCTCCAGTGTTTCTTTTGCTTTGGCTTCGTTGCCTTCCATGTCTTCAATCTGCCTCTGAAGCTGAGCGACTCTCCGCTCTAGCTCTGCGATCCTTCCCTGGAGCTTTTCATTCTCCTCCTGCAGAGCCTTCACTCGCATTTCAGTCCCCACCTGGCTTTGCTCTGAAGTGTTGCTCCTCCGGCTGGCCAAGACCTCGACATTCTGTTAAAAACACACAGCGAGAAAACAGTAACGGGTGTTAAGGGGCAGTCTGCAAGCTGAGAGAAGGGCTGGTGTTTATGAAAAACCCACTCTGTGCCAGGCCCTGTGCTGAGCCGGGGGTCGGCAAATGACAGCCTGCAGGCCAAATCCAGCCTGCCACCTGGTTTTTTTTCTTTTTTTATTACAAATGCAGCGTTATTGGAACACAGCCACACCCATCTGTTTGCAGATTGTCTGTGGCTGTTTTCAAGCTACAACAGCAGAGCTGAGTGGTTGTGACAGAGACCGCAAGGCCTAGGGCATGCCACGAAACCTCCAAGGTTTACTATCTGAGCTTTTTATGGGAAAAGTGTGCCAACGCTTGTCTGAGTTATATCCCTTACATGGGATTTCAACCTTTTAACAGTTCTAGAAGGTGGGTGTGCTGAGACTCGGGCAGGTTAAAATACCTTCTCCAAGATCACTTAGGAGGAACTGCATTCAGGCAGACTGAACCCAGCACCTGTCCTCATAACCCCTGCCCTCTGAGACATTCACTTCCCTGCTCTCTTCACATGGGCAGAGCCTTTAATAGAAGCTCTTGACGAAGGGCAACTTCTGTGTATAGATTTTTTAACGTCCAAGTTAAAATTTGCTTTGGTTATGATATAGCTCATCGCATAAGCTCTAGGTGCTATCATCTGAAAGTGAGCTCATGCTACACACAAATCACAAGAAAAATGGTAACACTTGCAGGATGGTTGCTGTTCATTCCAGATGCCATATGGGCTTTGTATTCTTTGGTTTAGCAACTTGAAGTGATGATTAGTGATCCTGTCTAGCGCTCCAACTTCTCGGGCAGATCTCTTGCCTGTCCTCCATTTCTCTACTGGTATTTCTGCTGATATCAGCAAATCTCATGCCCATCAAAATACTGCAGATGCCTGCCAGGGAAAAAAGGCCCAGGCAGGGCAAGACTGGGCTTTGAAAGTCTATATATCTCAGCCCCCTTGGAACAGCTACCTATTAGAATTGCTTGCATAGCCTTTTGGAAAGATCTATACATCTTTTAATAGTACAGTAAGTTTATTCTGAACTTAATCTGTTAGAGCAGCGGTTCTCAACCTGTGGGTCGCAATCCTTTTTTAACAATGAAAATACGTTGCAGCATCAGGAAGGTTGAGAACCACTGAGTTAGAGAGTTTCAGAAACTACAGCATCTTTTCATAGCCCAAATGTTTAATTCTAGACATCTGGGAGAGCCTGTCAGCACCAGGCAGCTGAGTTAGAATGAGGTTAGCTGGCACTGCTGCAGAAAAATAAGGTGCCTGGGAGCTGGGATTTCTTGGGACCACTTGAATATCATCTCCTAATGAAGCCAAGAAGAAGATGCAACATAAAGATGAACAGAGGAGAAATAAAGTGTGGTGGAAAACTGGAGGATGGATCTAAAGGATCCAATAACTGGTTAAGAAAGAAAATCTAGATGGCCCATTCCTGCCCTAACTCTTCCATGAAAATACGAGACAAGACTACAGTTACCAAGAAGTGCAGACTGGCATAAGGATAACAATATAAATCAGTGGAATAGAGTTGAGAGTCCAGGAATAAACGCTCACATTTATAGACAAGTGATTTCCAACAAGACTGCCAAGATGAGTCAATGGGAAAGACCAGCCTTCAACAAACGGCGCTGGGACAGCTAGATAACCACAGGCAAAAGAATCAAGTTAGACCCCTGCCTCAGACCACACACAGAAATTAACTCAAATGGTTCATAGACCCACATGGAACATCTAAAGCTATAAAACTCTTAAAACATGAGAATGAACGTTTGTGACTTTGGGTTAGGTAATATAGCCTTCTTAGCTATATTACCAAAAGCTATCCTAACAAAAGAATAAATGAAGAGTTCTTCAAAATTTAAAACTTTTGTGCTTCAAATGATACCATTAAGCAAATGAAACAAAAACACCGGATGAGAGAAAATATTTATAAATCATCTATCTGACAAAGAACTCATATTCAGCATATGTGTGAGTCACTATGAAAATTTTGAGACAAGCTGTGTTATGGTCTATTATTTCACTTCCCAGAAACACAGTCTACAGGTCAACAGCATCCTTTCTGATTCACCAGCAGGAGTTTCAACTTGCCCAGCCTATCGGTGTTGCTGTGAGGACTTCTTTTGTTTCCATCCATGTGGATTTTATGCTTCTAATTTTTTTATATCTCAAAACTTTCACAATGCTCACCTGTAAGGTATTCTTTAATTCAACAATGAAATAATAAATGGCCCGGGGGGGGGGGGCAAAGGATCTGAATAGTCATTTTTATCAAAGAAAATATACAAAAATATAATAAGCATATGACAAGATGCTCAACATCTTAGACATTAGGGAAATGCAAATCAAAATTATAACAAGATACTACTGCACACACACTATGATGACTATAATCAAAAAGACAGTAACAAGTATTGGGAGGATGTAGAGAAATCAGAATCCTCATAGATTGCTGGTAGGAATATAAAATGGTAGTCACTTGGAAAACAGTCTGGCAATGCCTCAAAACGTTCAACATAGAGTTACCCTATGCCCCAGCCATTTCACTCCTTGGTATACACCTAAGAGAAATACAAACATATATTCACATAAAAACTTGTACACAAATGTTCACAGCAGCATTACTCATTGTACCCTGAATTGTACACTTGAAATAAATGAGTTGTTTGTTATATGAATTATTATGTCTTAATATGGCTGTTTCTAAAAAGGGAAGGGAGAAGCCAAGGGAAACAGAGGACCGGACATAGGTAGATAGTACCCAAAAGTTGGAAACAATGCAAATCAACCAGTGGATGGGCAAACAATATGTGGCATATCTATACAAGGGAATATTACTTGGCTATAAAAAGGAATAAAACACTGATGCATGCTGCAACCTGGATGAACTTTGAAAACATTATTTTTAGTGAAAGAGGCCAATCACACACAAAGTCCATATTGGGCAGGGCATGATAGCTCAGGCCTATAATCCTAGCACTCTGAGAGGCAAAGGCAGGTGGATTGCTTGAGCTCAGGAATTCAAGACCAGCCTGAAGAATGAAACCCTGTCTCTGCTCAAAATGGAAAAAAAACCCAAAAAACTAGCCCAGTGTGGTGGCAGGCACCTGTAGTCTCAGCTACTTGGGAGGCTGAGGCAAGAGGATTGCTCAAGTCCAAGAGTTGGAGGTTGCTGTGAGCTATGATGAGATAGCACTCTACCCAGAGCAACTGAGACTATCTCAAAAAAAAAAAAAAATCCATATTGACATTTACATAAAATGTCTGGAATAGCAAATCTACAGAGACAGGAAGTAGACAGTGGGGAAGGGGGAGTGGCTGCTAATAGGTTTGGCATTTCTTTCGGGATATGATGAAAATGTGCTATCATTGACTGTGGTGATGGTTGTACAACTCTATGAACACGGTAAAAACCACAGAATTGGCTCGGCGCCTATAGCTCAACCGGCTAAGGCGCCAGCCACGTACACCTAAGGTGGCGGGTTCGAATCCCCAGCCCGGACCCGCCAAACAACAACGACGGCTGCAACCAAAAAATAGCCGGGTGCTGTGGCGGGTGCCTGTGGTCCCAGCTACTTGGGAGGCAGAGGCAGGAGACTCGCCTGAGCCCAGGAGTTGGAGGTTGCTGTGAGCTGTAATGCCACGGCACTCTGCCCAGGGGGACAGCTTGAGGCTCTGTCTCAAAAAAAAAAAAAAAAAAACCACAGAATTGTACACTTTAAATAAATGAGTTGTATTTTATAAATTATTATATCATAATATGGCTGTTTTAAAAAAGGGAAGGGGGAAGCCAAGGGAAACAGAGGACTGGAGTAGGGATGGTGGGCAGAGATGATGTATTTACCCTGGTGGTCGGGAGGTTTGCTCAATGTTAGTGCGAGGAAGAGGAGATGCGAGATAGCTGTCCAAAATTTTCAGTAAAGCCAAGAACACTTACATGTGGTGTAGTCGATGTCTTTTTGTTCACACAGAAATCTCAGGAAGGAGGACACTGAACACCAGCCCTAGTTTAACCTGGATTGGGGACTACCTGGCAGCCAGGCACACTGCATAAGGGAAGCGGATGGCAGGGTGATGGTTAGAACAAGATGTGCAAGTGCATCGCTCAGCCCCTGGAGGGCAGCGACCTAGTCCAATCCTAACTTTCCCAGTGGCACGCTCTGGGAGCCTCTCTATTTGCTAAGACACTTAGGCCTCTTTTGATGATCTATAAAGTAATCAGGTTTTTTCCCTGCATCTTTATAGTGTGGTAGATCACGCCAGGGCCTGTCTCACACTGGTCCACATATGGAAGTGCTCCACATAAGGAACTTTCATTGAGTACACGCGGTGCATGTCCTGTCAATGAAAATCAGGTCAACTTAAGGAAGTGGTCCATGAAGGGAGGTGGTCAACTACAGAGGCTCTACTGTAATTCAACATAAGGCTCTTCTGGCAAATCTTCCCCAAAACCCTCGTCCGTGTCCACAACCCCCCCTCCTCCCCACACCCACTTCACTATTTTCTATAAAGTCCATAGGACACATTTTTCTTTCCTGAAACCTAATCCACCTGCAAAAGTCCTAGATTGTAAAAAATAAAATAAACAAAAGTCCTAGATTGTAAAAAACAAAATAAAATAAAAATCACATCCCTGTGTTCAAGACAAGTACTAAGTGCAAGTTCCACTCCCTGACTTCCCAGAAAAGAAAAGAAAATTGGTCAAGAGGACCTCCAAACTCCTCCCAACTCTTGAGTGCTTTGATCTAGGCATCATCTTTTCCACATGTTTAAGTTTGTATCTCATGAATGTGACAAAGATAGCTTCTGAACCTCACCAAGACAGAGCTGATACAGAACCAATCAGACGGGAGGTCAGCGGGGACAAATACAGCTGCCCTCACTCAAGTTGCTGGTGCTATGTTTCTGCGATTCTTTGACCTTGAGTTCTGTGTGTCAAGACCAGAGAGGATGCTC